TTGGGTTTGGGTGTCTAAAGCTTGGCTTGGCCCATTTAAGCCCAAGAAATCTCGGCCCAGCCTACCCATAAAAGCCTGGCCCACGAGCTCACATACATATAAATACATATATTAAAAAAAACCCAAGTTAAATGAAATATGGAGAAAATCATTATCTATTATCATTGTAAGAATTAAAAAAAATGAAGTATGAGATAAAATATGATTTTATTAATATGGGGTTCTATAATTATATCTTTATATTTATGGGAAAAAAAAAAGAACTATGAAGTTATGAACAAAGAAAAAAATGGAGACATAAACATATAGACAAATTTAAATAGAGAACTATGAAAAAAGAGGAAACATAGAAACACACCAAAACATAGAAAATAAATAAATAAAGAACTGACAAAAATACATATCAAAAATAAAAAAGACAAAAAAAAGTTGGCCCATTTAGGCCCAGCCTGATGGCCTTTTCCAAGCTTGGCCCATAGGCTAGGCTTAGGCTTTAAATTTTCAAAAAAACCTTGCCCAGCCTAGCACGTTATTTTCTCTCTCCTCTTTAAAGCCCGGCCTAGCTCGACCCAAGCCCATTAAATTTGGGTCGGGCTAGTTGGCCTAGCCCATTGACGAGGCCTAGTTGGGATAAGACTAGATATTTTGGGAGGTTTTAATGTCGCCAATCTCTTCTAGGGTTCAGGTGTTTGTTTCTTCTGGGGGTTCGTTGTTACTTTCTTCGAAAGGTTCAACTTCAAAAAACCCAGAGTGGAACATTAAAGAATTGCACCGCCTCTGTCTGGACTTACACGCCTCTTTGTCTCAAGAATAGGACCCTTCCCGTCAGGCCGAAGCTTCAGTCTCTAAGACATCTCAATGCCCTAACTACTCATTTGCCCTCTTCAACATCGTCGCCCAGCCTGTGTAAGATGAAAAGATCCGACAGGAGGCTAAGGGCCATAGGCCCGCCCGATGGGCTTTTTCAAGCTTGGCCTATGGGCTTGGGCTTTGAATTTTCAAAAAAACCCCGCCCAGCTCAGCCTGTTATTTTCTCTCTCTTCTTTAAAGCCCGGCCCAGCTCGACCCAAGTCAATTAACTTTGGGGCGGGCTAGCTGGCCCGACCCATTAATGAGGCCTAGTTGGGATAGGACTAGATATTTTAGAATGTGTCAATTTCATTGATCTCTTCTAGGGTTCATGTGTCTGTTTCTTCTTGGGGTTCATTATTAGTTTCTTCGAAAGGTTCAACTTCAAACAACCCATAGTGGAACATAAAAGAATGCAACGCCTTTGTCTGGACTAACACGCCTCTCAGTCTCAAGAATAGGACCTTTCCCATCAGGCCGAAGCTTCACTCTCTGAGACGTCTCAATGCCCTAACTACTCCTTTGTCCTCTTTAACATCGTCGGCCAGCCCATGTATGATGAAAAGATCCAACATGAGGCTAGGGGCCATAGGCCCGGCCTGATGGTCTTTTTCAAGCTTGGTCTATGGGCTAGGCTTGGGCTTTGAATTTTCAAAAAAAACCAGCCCAGCCCGTTATTTTCTCTCTACTCTTTAAAGCCCGGCCAAACTCAACCAAAGCCCATTAAATTTGGGCCGGGCAGCTGTCCCGACCCATTGACGAGGCCTAGTTGGGATAGGTCTAGATATTTTGGGAGGTTTCAATGTCGTTGATCTCTTCTAGGGTTCAGGTGTCTATTTCTTCTAGGGGTTCATTGTTACTTTCTTCGAAAGGTTCAACTTCAAACAACCCAAAATGGAACGTAAAAGAATTGCACCACCTCTGTGTAGACTTACACGTCTTTCTGTCTCAAGAATAGGACCCTTCCCGTCAAGCAGAAGCTTCAGTCTCCAAGACGTCTCAATGCCCCAACTACTAATTTACCCTCTTTAACATCGTCGCCCTGCCCGTGTACGATGAAAAGATCCGACAGGATGCTAAGGGCCATATGCCCGGCCCGATGGGCTTTTTCAAGCTTGGCCTATGGGCTAGGCTTAGGCTTTGAATTTTCAAAAAAACTCAGCCCAACCCAGCCCATTATTTTCTCTTTCCTCTTTAAAGCCCGGCCCGGCTCGACCCAAGCCCATTAAATTTAGGTCGGGCTAGCTAACCCAGACCATTAACGATGCCTAGTTGAGATAGGACTAGATATTTTGGGAGGTTTCAATTTCGTCGATCTCTTCTAGGGAGGTGTCTATTTCTTATAGGGGTTCATTGTTAGTTTCTTCGAAAGGTTCAACTTCAAACAACCCAGAGTGGAACATAAAAGAATTGCACCGTCTCTGTCTAGACTTACACACCCCTCTATCTCAAAAACAGGAGTCTCGCCGTCATGCCGAAGCTTCACATTCCCAGGCGTCTCAATGCCCCAACTACTCCCTTCCCAGGCGTCTCAATGCCCCAACTACTCCCTTGCCCTCTTCAACATTGTCGCCCAGCCCGTGTACGATGAGAAGATCCTACAGACGGTTAGGGCCATAAGCCCGGCCCAGCCCAGCCCATTATTTTCTCTCACCTCTTTAAATCCCTGCCCAGCTTGGTCCAAGCCCATTAAATTTGTGTCGGGCCAGGTTGGGATATGACTAGATATTTTGGGAGGTTTCAATGTCGTCGATCTCTTCTAGGGTTCGGGTGTCTATTTCTTCTGGGGGTTCATTGTTAGTTTCTTCAAAAGGTTCAACTTCAAACAACCCATAGTGGAACGTAAAAGAATTGCACCGCTTATGTCTGGACATACACGCCTATTTGTCTCAAGAACATGAGCCTCGCCGTCAAGCTAAAGCTTCAATCTCCGAGGCGTCTCAATGCCCCAACTACTTCATTGCACTTTTCAACATCGTCGCCCAGCCTGTTTACGATGAAAAGATTCGACATGCGGCCTCCTTCAACTTCAAAAACCAACTCAAGGCTCGATGGGGCCTCGATTCCTCCTCGAATGACGAGCCCACCATCTCCGAAGTAGAGAAGGAGAAGATTAAAGCCGGTATTGTCTCCCTCATGCTCTCCGCCACGCACAAAATCCGAAGCCAACTCACTGAAGCAGTAGTCCTCATATGCAAGCACGATTGGCTAGATGGGTGGCTCGATTTGCGCTCCGACCTCATTTCCCGCCTGTCGGCATTGCGAACTCTATATTTAAGAGTTTTCGGTTTGAGTGCAATTATTTGAAATACTTTTGGAGCGTTTTGCCACACCCATTTTGAACATTTTCATTGAAACTGTGCGCTTGATTGAACATGTCAATTCCTGTGGTGAGTCCCTTCAGCAGTTGTTCAAGTCACAGATATTGTGGTGTATGATTTTTTACTCATTGAATTTTCAAGATTTTCCTCAGTTTTTTGAAGGCACTATAAATGTTTAGATTGAGGAGATGAAACCGTGTTTAGCCACGTATTATCCCGCGATTAAGAGTAGTGCTGATGGGCTTGCCCTGGTTGATGAGTTGCATGCAGCCGTGTGCATGGCTACTAACCTTTGTATTCAGAATGAGGGGAAAAACTTACAAACCTCATGGAATGATTTTGCTATTGATGTGTGGAAATTGTTGTTGAATGTGTCTAAGGTGTCTAGCCGTGATCGTGTAGCTCTTACTGCTATTAATTTTTTGACCACCCTTAGCACGAGCGTGGATCATAATCTTTTTGCTGGACATTTAATGATAACATAGATTTGTTAGGACATTGTGATCCCAATTGTGAGGTTGAGGGATAAGGATGAAGAACTGTTTAAGGTGAACTATATTGAGTTTATTAAGAGGGATATAGAAGGTGATATTCATACTAGGCAGAGGATTGCATATGAGTTTCTTAAAGGGATAACTACCAATTATGAACAATAGGTTACTGATGTTGTTTCTGAATAGATACGGACCTTGACAAATTGTCATAACTCAGACCCCTTTGTGTATTGGAACAAGATGGAGTACGCTTTTGTGCTTGGCTGGACCAATTTTTAATAAAGAGGACGGTCATACTGATTTGCCAAAAATTGGTACCCTGGAGAATTTCTTTATGACATCAATTGTTCTGATATTGCAGAGTAAGGATGTGAATGAGTTTCCAATGCTCAAGGCTGGCACACTGAAATTCTTCACAATGTTCTGGAAGGATTTACGAAAGCATGTGGCATTACAGTTTTTTCCACTTTTGAGTTAGTTCCTTCGTGCTGAGTCAAATGTTGTTCACTCTTATGCTGCAAGTTATATTCAGAAACTTTTGTTTGTGAAGGATGAGGGTGGAAGAGCAAGATGTACTTCAACATATGTTTTTGCTTTGATGCCACAACTGTTTGTGGGGCTAGGTGGAGATTGAGGGTTGCGAAGAAGAAATTCGAAGGTCTGGGGGAAGGGGGGTGGAGGAGGAGGGTAGAGGGATGGGTATGGGTTTGTGATGGGGGGAGAAAAAATCGCAAGAAATCATCTTAAGGGGAGAGGAAGGGGAGCGGGTTTGTGATGGGTTCTGCAGATTAGTTGAAAGAGAGATGGGGAGGGTCTTCGTGGTTGGTATAGTGGTGGGTGGAGGCTGATCGGGATAGGATGGGAGAAGAAAGAGGAGGGTGTGGTGGTCATGGGGAAAGGGGGAGAAGAACTAAGATAATATTTTAAAAATTTTGGTCTTCCATATAAACCCTGGTAACATAAACTAAGATTTTTTTCTCCTCTTTTTCTTCAATCTTTCCAAAAAAAATTATATTTTATTCATACATTAATCAATTAATTTTTTTTTAAAAAAAAAAAAATTGGGACTCATAAATACCATATAGGCAACTAACGGAGAGATTTGACGGAAGCCCTAATGGCGGAACCACATTATAACAAATTTAAAAGATCGGGGTATGTAATTGTGAAAATTAAAAAGATAGGGACTAACATGTCTTAAGAGTGTAACTATAGGGTACTAAACTGTAATTAACCCTTTTATTTTTTTGGTTGGAGGATAAAATTTTCTTTGTGTCGTTTGATGCAGACGACGTCGTTATCTTCGCGCAACAAATGCACGCACGCGCACATTTTACCGTGTGCTCTGCTCTGCTCTGGTCCTTCAACCTCTGCGTTCTTCCTTCTTCCTTCTTCTTCTGTTCTTCACTCACTTTGTCCTCTGAAACCCAAAAACCCAATGCCAGACGTAGACCTACCATCGGCTGTGGACCCCACTCACCACCTTCCTCTCCAATTCCTTCCATCCGACCCAACTCCTCCCGCCCCGACCCGATCCGATCCACCCGGATGCACCCTCGACTGGCTGCCGGACTTTCTAGACCTCTCATGGGTCGCCTACGGAGCCTCCTCGCTCCTAGTGATCTCCCACTTCCCCTCCCCACTCTCCGATGCCGAAACTGTAATAGGACCCATTTTCCGTCAAATCTTCGAGCTCTCCGGCGACCCCTCGTCGGCAGTCGAAGCCGTCTCTTGGTCCCCGTCCACGCCCTCGATCGGTGAGCTAGCTGCCGCGGCTGAGAATTGCGTTTGGGTGTTCTCGCATGATTCGGCCAGGTCCAAAGGTGCGTGAGGGTTGGAGGTTGTTTTAGTTTGGTTACTGAGAAATACTGAGAAATGGGGTGAAATGTTAAAGGTTTTGAATTGACAGCAGGACTTGAGTGAATGTCTAGTAACAGCAGGTGTGTAACTGTTTGCAGTAAAAGTTCCATGTTTCCTGATTGGTAGTTAAGAAAATTGAGATAGAAAATGAGGTGAAATGTTGAGATTCTGAATTGGCAGCTGGAATTTGCATGTATAGTAATGAGGAAAAAAAAAAAAAAGTGAACTTTTGATTACAACTAGTTGGCATTATTATGGTTTTCTGCATTCCTTAAGTAATTTATATGCAGTGCATCTGGATTCTGTTCTTAATTTGGCTTGTGTGTCTTAAATTTCAAATCTGTTTACTCATATTCAGGTTCTTTTTGTTGGAGCCAGAATGCAGTACTCGTACATTCTACAAAGGTCGAGGCAATGAGATGGACTGGCTCAGGGGATGGAATTATTGCCGGTGGAATTGATGTGGTTTTGTGGAAAAGAAATGGCAGGTCTTGGGAAATTGCTTGGAAGTTTAAAGCAGACATGCCACAAAGTATGGTCTCTGCAACTTGGTCTGTTGAAGGACCTTTTGCAACTGCAGCTTATCAGACTGAAGGATTGTTGACCAGTAAGGCTAGCAAATGTGTGCTAGTATGCCAAAGTGTTGGAAAATCTGGTTTTTTGAAATCCGAGCTACATCATCCTCATCCTATCTCAATGATTCAGTGGAGGCCATTAACAGGAAGTTTAAATAGAGATGCAAAACATCCACCGAGGCAAGTGTTACTCACATGTAGCGCAGATGGAACTGCAAGGTTATGGTGCGAGGTTGATGATGGAAGGGGAAGAAAAGTTGGTAAGGACGTTAATGACCACAAAACAATGAGGTGTTCATTTTCTGTAGCCGCTGTAATTGAGATAAATCAGGCACTGAATGGGATTCTAGGCACTGATATATATCTGATGTGGGCCACAGAAATTGGGGGTGTACATAAAACTAGTGAGGGAGCTAAACAAATTTTCTTTGGAAAAGGTTATGAGCAAGATCAACCTGGTAACTGTGAGTGGTTAATTGGGTCTGGCCCTGGAATGTTGGTCAATTTCTGGGCTATACACTGTCTTGATGATGTCTCCCCAATAAGATTTCCGCGGGTCACCTTATGGAAGACACAAAAACTACAAGGGCTAAAAGGGGGACTTTCTAATTATAAAGATGGAATACCTCTTAATAAAGTTGTTATCTCGAGGAACTGCTCGTCTGGTCCACCAACATTATGTTCTTTTGTTCAGTTATTACCTTGTAATTCCTTGGTTTGGTCACAATTATATACTCAAACTTCAAATAATGCCGAGGATATATCCCTTAATAAATCTGGTACTGAGAACATCTTAGCATGTTCAGCTGGTGGACTCTTGAATTTGGATGGTCATGCTGGAAGAATCTTACAAGTAGCTGTGCATCCTTATAGCTGCGAAGTTGAATTGGCTGTCTCTCTAGATTCTTGTGGACTACTTCTATTTTGGTTTTTTTCTACCATTTCCAACTGCATTTTGGGCCGTCCAACACTAATTCCAACATGGGAGCTTTGTGGGAAACTTGAAACACAAGGATCATGTTCCAAATATACAAGCTTGAGGTGGGCACCGTCAATAGTAAATGAAGCAGTTGTTCTTCTTATGGGACATGCTGGAGGCGTTGATTGCTTTGTTGTAAAATTCCATCATAATGAGGAAGAAAGTATAGAATGTCACTACTTATGCACAATACCTTTTACAGGTCATGGTCCGTATGAGAATGGTCCCACTAGTATCTTTTCAATTCCTTTGCCTTCGACTTGTCATAAAACCCTAAAATCTAATAAATTTATGCTTTTGGGTGTATGGATGAATGGGTTTCAGGCTCTTTCTTGGGAAATCATCTTGCATTCTTTTGATTTATCAAGAAGCTACTGTGAGTGTCAATTTGATGCTGGAAGTGCTCCTGAAGGCAGTATGTGGCGATTTGAAACTACTTTTGCCAATGAAAGATATTGTCTTAATGTAAAACCTTGCTCGTCAAAGATACCAGATCCTCACACGCATGATGATGTTTCAAGTTTTGCTGTGGTCTGTCCGGGTAGATTGATCTGTGTAGAAAAAAGTTTGGCTTCTACTATTGATCGATGCTGTCCTCCATATATACTGGCTACAGGCTGCTCTGATGGTAGCTTGAAATTGTGGAGGAGTAACATGGATAAGCCATCAACACCTCAAATTTCATGGGAACTTGTGGGTATGTTAGTGGCACATCAAGGACCCATTAGCTCTATATGCTTATCGGATTGTGGTCGTAAGATAGCAACCATCTGCAAGGAGCTTCTTTCAAATACTGTTAGCACTCTTCGTATATGGGACCCTGTACTCCTTGCAGATGCAGGGACTTTTATGTTAGAGGATACATTATCCTTTGGTCAAGATCCTGTTGCTTTAAATTGGCTATACTGTGGAAATGGTCAGTTACTGCTTGGAGCCTGCACACAGAATCAGTTGCAAGTATATTCTCAGCAGCGTTGTGGTGGTCAGACTTTATTAAACTCTGGAAAATTATTGAAAAAGGACATCTGGGTTTGCATTGCGTCTACTCGTACTTTCCCTCCCATTTATGACTTCTTTTGGGGCCCCAGAGCAACGGCTATATTTGTTCACAATAGTTACTTTTGTGTAAATAGTCAGTGGCTGTTCCCTATAAATAAGAAACATCTTGCTAATGCCGATCCAAATTGCCCGGATTATTTGGGTAGAATGGAAGAAGATATTGATTCTACGGTGTTCATTGATTGTGGACTTGATCAATTCAAGAAAATATTACTTGGTGACAGTAGAAGAGATTGCAAGTCCGGTATACCATTGGAGATTGATTTGAAAAAGGATTATCTGTCCAGCAGCTTGTTTTTAGCAAGGGCTCAACTGAAGTGTGGTTCGGCTACCAAGCTAGGTTTATGGAACATGGATGAAGTGATCGAGAAGTTAAATGGATCTCTGCCAGTTTATCACCCAGAGGCCCTCTTTATGAATATCTATTCAGGTATTATTTCAGTAGTTTACTTATTTTGGTGAAGTAGCATATCGTGTTACAAACCAAGAACTAGAATATCATTTTTAAATTCAGATGTTCAACTGAGTTATGTAATACTGGTTAAAATCTTCCATCCACTGCCCCCTCTCTCTCCTCCCTCCCTATCTCTCTGCGTGTCTGTTTTTTCTCTGTTAGCAGTTTCCTAATGTTGCCTTTTTGGACTTCTTAGATCACTTTTTTTTGCTTTTCAAGTAAGCGTGTTTCTAATATTTAATTATGTTAATACACATGGAATCTGTAATGTGTCTAGGAAATTGGAAGCGTGCTTACACTGCTCTGAGGCATCTTAATGAGTTTCTTTCTTCTAATTCTTCTCCTGAGAGGAAGTATAGCCCTGCAAAATATAGCATTTGTGTTCCACAAATTCCTTTGTCAAGTTTTTTTGATGCGCGTATCTCAGTATATTCAAATGACAGAGGATTTCAATGGAGCGGTGATGCTTCTCTAGTTACTTCATCTTCTCAGTTTCAAAGAAACTTGGACCAATTTACATACAGTTTGGACTCCTATGCTTCCAGTAATCAGTTGAATTCATCCTCAACAAAAACTGAACTTAGTGACTTTGTTGAGCCTCTTGAGAATTTATACAAGTCAGCGGCTATAAGTGACATGGAGAAGATTCAAATTCTTTCTATTATAGATCTTCTTATTGAAATGACTAATTCACACTCTGGTTCTGCATATGAAAGTCTTGATGAACCTGGACGGAGGTAACTCTGACTTTTGTTGACTACATCCTTTCTGTATTTTCTATGTGAATCATTTTTTCAAATATATTCACAGTGGACAAGCTGTCCACTGAAAACAAAACAGGGAACAAACTCTGATTTCTAGCTAAAATACAGTATAATTACATTACATCAAAACAAGCAAAACTGGATTTTAAGTAACAACAGCCTTCCAATTCGCATACCTAGACAAAATGGTATGTCCCAAAACCCTAAAGAAACCAAAACGGATAACTATCCCACAATACCTCTGCACCCTCCCCTCTATACTTTTTAGAGACCCTTATATTTTGTTCCATAAACACCCTACAAAACTCAGCCAATACAAACAATTTGTTAAAGCTTCTGCCTTCCTTCCCCACCAAATGCCCTATGCTTCTCAAAAAGCAGTGAATGCATGTTACTGGAATTACGGATACTTTCCGAAGTATTTGTGAGATTTTGTGATTCTTAAAGAAGATCTGCTGAAAGATTTTACGTACTAGGTTCATGTTGTTTTATGTTCTGGTATTTTTCCTTAGAATGAAATGTTTAGTGAATTAAACTTTTGATTAGATAACGTGTTGACTACTGAAGACTATGCATTCCCAGTCCTGTTTTGCTAGAAAGGGTGGAATGGAACTAAGATAAAAGGTATATCCCGTTGTTTTATTCTGCTCCTGTCCTGTGTAGGATGCACACTAAGGAAGATATCCAAATGTAGGATGCAGTTTGTAAAGAATTCCAAGGATTTGTTAACCTTGATTAGCTTGTGGTTTACATGAATCTCATGTTTATTTTTATTTTCATTATAGAAATAGTCTTGCATCATTGTTTGCCCTTAAAAACTGTAATTCAAACCTTTATATTCTTGGGGTGGTTACATGCCACAAATCTGACATTTGGGGATATTGTAGTCCCTTACAGGTTTTGGTAAAATTTGAAAGATCTCTTTGTTTAAATTAGGTAAAATTATCCACCTATAAACATTTGAGCTATGGCGAACTATTTTCATCTAATAGTGTTGCATATAACTATACTATTTGCCCATAATCTTCTTTAAATTGTTTAATTTACTGTACTTTTGATATCATTATTCTTGAGAATGATTCTAACTTTGTTTTAACTTCTTTTTTTCTCCATTTCTGTTATTTTATTCTTACGTATTCATTCTTTGTAGGTTTTGGGTTGCATTGAGGTTTCAGCAACTACATTCTTTCAGACAGCATGGTAGATTGGCATCTGTGGAGGAGTTGGTTGTTGACTCCAAGTTGATTGGATGGGCCTACCACTCTGATTGCCAGGAAAACTTATTTGGGTCTTTCCTACCTAATGATCCATCTTGGCCAGAAATGCGGAATCTGGGTATTGGATTTTGGTTTACAAATACAGCACAATTGCGTTCAAGGGTAATACTTTAATCTATTATTCTTAATATTTCTTAATGCTAGACTAGGAAAATAGCACTCTTTTTATGTCACCAGAAGAGTTGGTTCTTTCTTTCCAATTTCCGAAGCTGTTATCTGACCCCCAAAAAAAGAAAAAAAAAAGAAAAAAAAAAAGCATAGTAGCTAAACCTGTTTGGTGTCCATTCATTTTCGTAGGATACATATGCATGGTGTTGACCAGTGTACCAAGAGAAAAGAAATTGATTTCCCATAAGCAATGATGAGTTTCAAAAGGCAGTTATTTTGTTTAATCTTTATTTTTGTGCAGTATTTTTGGTTATCTACTTATCATTATGTTTAAGATCTCTGAAGACTTTATGCGGCCTCATTATTTGTGCTAGAAATATAAAGATTAAAATTCTCTTCATGATGTTATGCAGCTTTGACTGACTCGAGGGTTTTTTTTTCCCTCAATGTAGATGGAGAAACTGGCAAGATTGCAGTATCTAAAAAGGAAAGATCCTAAAGATTGTGCATTACTATACATAGCACTGAATAGAATTCAAGTTTTGTCTAGCCTTTTCAAAATTAGCAAGGATGAGAAGGATAAGCCCCTTGTTGGATTTCTTTCACGTAATTTTCAGGTAAAGTTATAGTCTGGTTATGTATGTATACATTTATTTACAAGAATATGGAGAAGAAAACTTTAGAAATATTTCTTCTTGAGGTCCTTGTCCTTGGTGTGACTTTTCTTGTCTTCATTTCTTGGTGCGAGTCTGATATATATCTCTCTCTTTGTCAAGCTAATCATTTGATGGTAGGTTGTCTTAACATGCATCCACATTTTATTCTTACAGGAGGAGAAAAATAAGGCAGCTGCTTTGAAGAATGCATATGTCTTAATGGGGAGACACCAACTGGAATTAGCTATTGCTTTCTTTCTGCTTGGAGGTGATACTTCTTCTGCTGTCAATATTTGTGCAAAGAACCTTGGCGATGAACAGCTTGCGTTAGTGATTTGTCGGCTTGTTGAGGGGCGTGGTGGACCACTAGAGAGACACTTAATTACAAAGTTTATGCTACCATTTGCAATTGAGAAGGACGATTATTGGTTAGCAAGCCTTTTGGAGGTGCCTTGATTTTAAATAGTTTAACATAAGAATTTTTATTAAGAAGACACTACCACGGTATATGTCGTATCCATGGTTTTTCAGATGTCATACCTTACAAATGACTCTCCTTGATTTGCAGTGGGAGCTGGGGAATTACTCTCAATCTTTAATACGCATGCTTGGTTTCCAAATAAATTCGGCAACTGAGAAGCATGCACTCTCGTCCAATGGTGTTGCTTTCTCAGACCCAAACGTTGGTCTGTATTGTCTAATGCTAGCAACCAATAATTGCATGAGGAATGCTGTTGGGGAGCGAAATATTGCAATCCTTAGCAGGTGGGCAATATTGACGACAGCTACCGCGTTAAACAGATGTGGGCTTCCTGTAAGTTTACATTTTGATTCATGCTGTTATCATGTGGGATGATATTTGGTGGATGTGAATGTAGTGTTTTAGGTGAGTTTGCCATTTATAAAAGGTTCAATGACATTCTGAAATGTTGGCCTATATTATTGTCTCATATTAACCTATTCGTGAACTCCATAATTTATAATGCATGACCTTTCCCTATCAAATTAATGCCTGACTTTGACCTATTCATGAACTCCATAAATAGATTCAATGCCCAGTTTATACATTGAGATGCTATAAACTGTACTATTCAAAATGGTTTCTTGTTTTTGTACTGGAATATTTGGATCTTGTGATCTATAGTGAGTGCAATAGGTGCCATACAATGTGTCCCATATGGTACTTGAGGATCTTTATGATGAAATTGTCCAAATCCGTAGAAGCCTCCCACCAACTTCACATAATGCTCTTTGGCGAGGATGGCTTTCCATACCAGTTTACATATACTGAAGGGGTGTGGTGCTGGGAATCCTTATAGAGCCTCCTAAAGGCATGCCAATTGGTTGTGCATTTTGCAGCTTTTGTTAGCTTTTATCTTTAGACTACCTCTACTCTCCTAGGGTTCATACTGCACTGTGTTTTCTTAAAGCTTGTGAGGTGTCTTTGGATTTTCATGTATAGGTGACTGATAGGACAATTCTCATGTTTTGTATATGTGAATGAAAGCCCTGGATTTATTGTTTCCCCTGGATTTATTGTTTCTTGTTGCTGATAGCTTGAAGCTTTGGAGTACCTTTCATCTCTACCAACCATTCGTGGGGATACAGATGAAAGGGGTATGTCAGATCTTGGGCATTCTGAAAATCTACATGCAATTCTAAATCCTTCTTCAATAAATTCTTTCAATTGGTTATCAAGTTATGTGGCTTTCGATCTGGAGTTTCAAGGCAAATTAGATTTGACACTTCAATACTTATCAAAGTTGGTAAGAGAGCATCCAAGCTGGGTAGATATTGCTTTTGGATCTTCTGAAGCTAGTACATGTGTAAAGGAATACGAAAATCATGAATATTTAAAAGTTCGTGAATCTTTCCAACAGAAGTTATACATGGCAGTTCATCTGTTTGAGCAGAAGTTTTCAGTGGTTCCCTTCCATCTTATTAGCCTGGTACATTTTTAGACTCTGCCTTGATCACACCTGAGTAGTTTGTCTGGCATGAAATGATACATTTTTAGACTCTCTGATCATATTTTTCCCCTTCCTTTCTACAGATTTTAATATTGCTGCAAGATCATGGGCTATGGTTCGTTGGATTTGATATATTACATGGATACACTTCTCAACATCAAGAGATAGATAAAACCCAAACAGTTGACAGATTCTTATCATATGCTCTTATGCATAAGCCACTTTTGAAGGCCACCAGAGAAACTTCCCTTTTGTTTTCACGCGTTATTGCTGCCTGTGGTATAACTTGCTCTATACTGAAGTCACATTATATTGAAAACAATGTCTCTGGCGATAGTAGATCTATGAGGTCAGATTCGTTGGGGTATTACTTTCAAGGTCTTACACTGTCATTGCAGAGTTTAAGGGCTGCTTTGAGATTTGCCTTTTTCTCCTCAACTGAAGATCTCACCATGAAACCCCTTGCAGTCATTGATTTGATTGAGTATTATGTACAGCTTGCATGTGCTTGGCATCGTAAAAACTCAAAAGTTCTCTTACTATTGGTGCAACCCCTTGTGATCACATTTACTAATGGGCATACACCTTATGAAGTTGATATGATGACTCTCAAGAAACTCCTTCCCCAGATTCGAGAGGTTGTGGCTCAAAATGTTTCTACTGATAGTGTAGGTCTTCAGGTTTCTCAAGATAGAAATATAACACATTCAATTCCAGAAGATGAAAGATGGCAAATCATAGGGGCTTGTTTATGGCAACACATATCCAGACTCATGAAACATAAGTTGAATTTGTTGTCCTATAAACTTGATGATGGTTGTTTTTCTGGTATACCCGATAGAAAACATTTTTCACGCTTACCTAGCTCTGCAAGTTTACAGTCTGATAGCAATAGTATAAATGAACTGATAGAACTGGTGTCCTTGAGCTTGCTTAAGTTATTGAAGCCCACACTTGCACATGTTTCTTCTTATTATGTAAAACAGCTAGCATCACTTCTGCAGCATAAAATGGATTATGGGTTGCATGTAAGGACTCTTGTTTGGTTAGAAGAATCTAACCAGTCTCAAACCAGAGCCCTCAATCAGCATCTAAATCAAGATATTGTCAAATTGGACACAATAGATGAAAGACATGAATCTGACATGTTATGGGTTACCTGTGCTGATCCTAAAATGATATCTGAAAGTTTTGCTGAGGAAAAAATAAACTGGCCTCACTCTCTTGATCGTAAACCCTCTAAAGGATGGAGTAACATATGTAGAGGCATTACAACTGTAGATGAAACTGAGGAAATTCCCAATCATGAAGTTTCACTTAACAGTAGTTCTGCCAGTACAGAAGCGGGATCACCTGCTAAAAGTATATTTCGGGGTGGCCATTCTTTCCTTGGTACCTGGCAGAAAGACACAACCCTTACAAAGGAGGTTACACATTTTCTAAACCCAAAAGAGATATATAAGAGAAACGGGGAGCTTTTGGAGGTAAGCTTTTATTCATTTCTTTCCTCTGTAACTTCTGGCAATCACAAAATATCAATTGATCATTGCATTGGAAAGCTTTGGTATTGAATTAGGGTTCTAAATCTCAAAAGAGAACATTTTTGGAGCTTTTGATAATATTTGACAGTAATTATTTTTTATCTGGATCAGGCATTGTGTCTCAACTCCATTGATCAGGGACAAGCTGCACTTGCAAGCAACCGAAAGGTAAGGCCCTGAACTTGAGCTCCATCTGGTGAGAATCCTTCAATTATTTTCAGATGACTTACCATATTTTTTGTCGTATACTCAAAGTGCTTGATTGTATTAGCTTGTGCTGTGCACGAGATATGTACCCTCCTATATTTAGGTCACTAGAAAGCGTTAAAGACAAGGGGAAAAAAAATTTACTTGGATACATGCAATATAACCAACTGTTAGGTTCAGAGTGTTGTTAAATCATTGCATACATACTTCTTACTACCGAAAAATGTGTCCTACGTATAATAAATTGTTTAGTTTTGATCTTAAACTGAAGTTGAAAGTTCAGCTTAGGAAAAAGAAATTCAAGTATGCATTAGCTGTGTGAAAATCACTAAAATTGAACATAAACTTTTTATTTTATGCTAGCTCTTATGATCAGTTTGCTAATTTCTCTATTGTAAAATCAACTCTTCCAGAAATGCACATCATGTGTATGGTTTCAACTGATTTTTCAATGGTATTGTCATTGTTTGTGTAGTCTGCATCCAGTATGGTAGCACATGCTGAGACAGTATTTAATGTCAACATCTTTCTGATTCAGGGAATATTATTTTTTAATTGGAAAGATGATATGTCTTTCGGAGATCATTCAGACGATATATGGTCAGAAGCCGATTGGCCACTGAATGGATGGGCTGGTTCTGAATCAACCCCCGCTCCTACATGTGTTTCTCCGGGTGTTGGTCTTGGAAGCAAGAAAGGTGCACACCTTGGACTGGGTGGAGCAACTGTTGGTGTGGGCTCTTTGACAAGGCCGGGAAGAGATTTGACAGGTGGTGGAGCATTTGGGATTCCAGGTTATGCTGGTATTGGTGCGTCTGGTTTAGGTTGGGAAACTCAGGAGGACTTTGAGGAGCTTGTTGATCCACCAGCTACTGTGGAGAATGCAAATACGAGGGCTTTTTCCAGTCACCCGTCTAGACCTTTCTTCTTAGTTGGTTCTAGCAATACACACATTTACTTATGGGAGGTATGAAACTTTGACAATCTTTTAGATACTATTTGTTTAAATTTCAAGAACTTGTAGATACTATTTGCAATCTTTTATCTGATATCTGTATTGGGTTTCCTTAACTTGTTTTGTATAAATTTTTTATAGATCTTAATAGAGCACGATAGAGTCTCTATGATATTTTGAATTGTATTGTCATATGGTATTTTGCTTGATTAGGCTTTTGGCTGAGTCAAAAGTTTTTGGTCTGGTCACAGTTAACTAGTCTCTAATAATTTGTTGCTAGGGTGCATTTGTGTATTAATTTTGTTTTTGAAGGCATCCATAATCTCCTCAGAAAACATTTTACACCCCTTGTACTTGTGATTCATCTCTCAACAGATTGAGCACCTTGTTTGGGATACAAGAACTAAGCATGGTTTTATGGCAACCTATAATTTCATGGAAGACTTATATGTTATTTTGCACTGAGCTCCAATCTATCCTGTGCTTCTTTGTTAATTATTCATTCCTAAATATTACAATGCAGTATGAAGAAACTGTCTTCAAATACAATCATAATAAGTACTGTAAAGTGCACTTTTGTGAATGTTTTGCTGTCTTCTTATTGTTACCTTTGAGGACATATAACTAAAAATAAATTTTTTTTTAGTGCAGTTTGGTAAGGACAAAACTACTGCAACTTATGGAGTGCTGCCTGCTGCAAATGTCCCTCCACCTTATGCTCTTGCATCTATATCAGCTTTGCAGTTTGACCACTGTGGACATAGATTTGCTACTGCTGCCTTGGATGGAACTGTATGCACATGGCAGCTGGAGGTGGGAGGAAGGAGTAACATTGGTCCTACAGAGTCATCTCTATGCTTTAACAGCCATGCATCGTATGTGTTATATGATTTTTCAAATTTTCAACACAATTTTAATTATTAAGTTCTTAAATATGTTTGGGAATATGTGGCTATAGATAAATCCTCCAAGATGCAGTGGCTGTAATTTTTGCTCCAAGCTTTTTCCTTTATGGGATGGCTACTTCCCTCTTATGATAAAATGAAATTACTCAGAAACCTGAAATTTTTGGAATACCCTAGTCCTATAGTTCCTAACGTCCTGTTTAACTTCAACAGTTAGCTGTCAATGTAAACTTTAGCTGCTTAGGTGGATTGTGGTCCATAACAAAGGACCATTGTCTGTTGACTTTGATTAGTTGGGTAACCTTGTGCATCATGTTTGCTTAATTAATGTGCATCATTTGGCTGTCTAGAATTGTTTGACTGGATGTGTGTGATTATGTTGTGGAACTGTGGTTGTTTACGCCCAATTTCAATCGGGAAATTTCTTATTGTTTCCAACTGTAATTTCATTTGCAGCGATGTTGCTTATGTTACTTCAAGTGGATCAATCATTGCTGTTGCTGGATTTAGCTCCAATAATGTTAATGTGGTTATATGGGATACATTGGCTCCACCTACCACCTCACGGGCTTCTATCCTTTGTCATGAAGGTCTCTCTCTCTCTCTCTCTCTCTCTCTCTCTCTCTCTCTCTCAAACACACGCACACACACACACACTCGCCTTGCAATTGCTATTTCCCACATTCTAAGAATCTTACCCGTGCTCTGGTTGATTGCTTTTTCAGCCATAGTTATTAACTTTTTCTGTTCAGTTAATAATTTTTCTTCATCTTGTATATGCCTTGTCCTTTTTGTGTGAAGGTGGTGCACGCTCTCTTTCTGTGTTTGATAATGACATAGGAAGTGGCTCTATCTCCCCCCTTATTGTGACTGGTGGAAAAGGTGGTGATGTTGGACTTCATGATTTCCGGTACATTGCTACTGGAAGAAGTAAAAGGCATAGGCATTCTGATAAAGGTGAACAAGTCATGAAGACATCATCGAATATTGATATGCATCCTGGGAATGGTACCAAGCTTGGGGAACAAAATCAAAATGGAATGCTTTGGTATATACCAAAGGCTCACTCAGGTATAACCTGACAAATTTTCATGCAAGATTAACTCTGTATTATCATTTCCTTGTCCAATTATCATTTAACTTTTTGATGAATGAATCGGAATGAAGGGAGTGTCACCAAGATATCTATAATCCCAAATACCAGTTTGTTCTTAACGGGAAGCAAAGATGGAGATGTTAAGCTTTGGGACGCCAAGAGAGCTAAGTTAGTATATCACTGGCCGAATTTGCATGAAAGGCACACATTTTTGCAACCAAGCACTCGAGGCTTTGGTGGAGTAGTCCAGGTAGGCCCTTTGTTCATGCAATAATGTTATGACTTAAAAGTCTTATATCTGTAGTTAGACATGGTAAATGATTTCCGTTATGTCATAGACAAAATGTCATTTGGCCACCTGTACTAAGGTGACACCACATTCCATGTCACAGGCTGCTGTCACAGATATAAAAGTTGTCTCACATGGTTTTCTCTCCTGTGGTGGAGATGGAACTGTAAAGCTTGTTCAACTGAAAGACCACCAACATCAGACATGATGAAATTGATTATAAGTTACATATGAAGTCTTGGAAAATCATTCTTGCATAGTTCGACTGCGGAAAGCACTGAATATTGCTAAACTGCCCAACTGTTCAAGGTTGGTGAGAATGAGAGATACTCCCACATTGCTTGATTGTTGCTTGACACTAACATATACTATAGTCAACTCTGCAGACATTTTGGATACCTACCACTGGTAATCAAAGCGACTTCTGAGGCTCAACGCTTCCAAACTTTGTACCTATTTTGATTAGTGACAACGGAGTGTAAACAATACACTGCCTCTGCTTGAAGGTAGACAGGACCATACAACAGAAAAGAAATCTGATAGGAAGCGTTTGGTATGTTTACTATAACTCTTATCGAGCAACATTGTTTGGAAGGCTGGCATGATCGAGCCTTTTCGATGAAGACCGTTTGGTGTGTTTTCAATCTCGTTCTTCTGCTCTCCTGGATCTTGTGTGAAGCTAAAGCACAGGGAAGAGTTTCAAGTTTCCTGTACAATTTTTTTTTTTTTTTTTTTTATACTTAAATTTGCATGTGTATATAATTCTGGAAGAGCCAAGTTTACCCCTTTGTACTTGTAGCATCCTGGATTCTTTGAAATTGTGTCAAAGTTATTGTATATTAGGGTTGATGTAGGGAATTTTTAAAAACATAATGAGATTTGGATTTCCTCTCTCAGCAGTAAATAGTAGGGTGCACACTTTCTTCCATCTGAAGCATCTGGTTTATGTATTTAAGCCATGGGCTGATAGAAGGAATTGTTGTCGCATCCAGCTTTTTAATCTCCCCTAGATTTATTTGTGAGGTTATTCTCATGGCATTCAAATTGAAAGCTCCATTTGACATCAACCCTAATAGAGATCTAAAGGGACATGCTAAATGGTCAGTCTTCAACATTGACTTTTACCATTTGTTCTTCATGAGCTGTTTGAAAGTGTTTATGCTGAAAGCATACTCCCATTTAAGCCCACGGATAAAATGCAGAACGAAAAGGAAAATGTGTCAAGTCTATGGGCAGAGCACAAAAAATGAAGAACGCAAAATAAACGCGTGGCACTAAAAGAGCTCTGTATGTGTATGTGGCATATCAAAACTGGGCTTAGTTTGAATGGCCTAACTGCAAAAGTCAAAAAGAACGGAATTTTCAAGGATTGTGGTCTCTCTCTCTCTCTCTCTCTCTCTCTCTCTCTCTCCTAGTAGCTTTTAGTAGCAGAATGCTTCCATTTTGATCCACCTACTGGAAGCTTGAATTTTCATCAATCAGACTCTTACACGTCACAAATTACTTAGGCAGCCATACACTTGGCCTTAAAACAATGGGCTCACACACTGAAAACTCCCTCCATCTGCCTTGTTATTCACTTCATTTAGGTGAAAACAGGATCATATACAAAACAAAAGGGGCATTTTGGAAAAAGCAAAAGGAGAGAGAAAAATTTTAAAAGAAACAAAAATGGACGAAAATGCCCTTATTTATTTTTAGATTTTCTAAGGAATCCAATATATTTGCATGTCTTTGATTTGAAAGTTGAGTGGTTTTTCTGTCTTTTTTGAAAAAGCTTTGGCTTTTTCCAAAAGTGAAAAAAAATTTATGTCTAAAACCTAAAAAACCTAAAACAAAACACAGTACTGTACACATCTGACAGGCCCATTTGATCAAAATCTTTTATCACTAATTGAAGTTAAAATCTTGGCCTTCACAAACATGGGGTCCACCTCATATGCTCCAATATGTAGTCTTTCATTCATGGGGTCCACTGTAGATGCCAATTTTCGTTCATATTTATCTGTTTCATAGGAGAAGCCGAAATGGTTGGTTGGTCGATCGATTTAGACCCCTCCCACCTCCTTACTTACTTGCCCTTAACACTGTTCCCTCTAAAAATGCTAAAATAATCATACAAGAAATCTGTAATTTAAGTGATTAATAATAAGTATTCTTGCACTCGAGATTGTGCGTTTGAATATCTTTTATTTTAATATCGTTAAAATAAAAATATAAATAAAATAAAAAAGGATAAGTGTCCAATCCTATCCTATGGTACATGCTGGGTCCATCACCGCCCTTGGATCTCCCATCAGTGCCACGTGTCACTAACCCACCAGCGGATCCAAGCTACTTGCAACTTACATGCTAGTATTCAAACCCAAATTATGAAACATGGGGCCCCATGTGATATTGGAAAATGCTGGTGTCAGCAAAACGGTGTCGTGCTGTTGTAAGCTTGAAGCTTTTTGATAGTTGCTGAATTAGAGGGCAAGCGTGGTTGTACAAAACTGCAAACCGACAACGTAGAAGTATGAAATGATAACTGAAAAACAAAAGCACTCCTCCCCTCCCTCGTGGCCTTCTCTGACATGGGTCATCTTCTTCTTGCTTGGTTTTAGATTCTTTGTCTACCTTGCATCTTAGAACCACAACGGTTCCTTCTGTATATGCTAAAGCTTTTTCAATTCAATGAATCAGATCTAACAAGGACCCCACTTTCCCATATTCTCCCACTTCATTCAGTGCAGGTCTGTTTGTTTCTCTGTTTTCTTAGTTCTTTTTGGGCAATTGAATTGCTGGGGTGCTTGTATTTTTAGGTGGTTTTTTAGTTATGTTTTGGAATTGGTTGTGTTTTCCTTCATGTTTGCTCAACTGGGTTTGTCTGATAATGGTGAAAATATCATTTTGATTTCTGTTTAGACACATATCTGAAGAGTATATTAGTCAGCTAAGTCTTATTTGACAGCTTTCATTGTTAGTGAATATGAGGCTTTGATTTGTTATTGACTTTTCTTCCTTTGAATTTTTTATTAGTTAATGGGATTTGGTGCTTAAATTCGGTCGGATTATAGCAAGTTTTATTTGGTGGCAACCCTTTAGCATTTGCATTGGGGTGTATCTTATAGAAAGAAGGTTGGTCTTTGGTGACAATTGAAAGAACATTCAGTTTCTTTATGTTTAAAGGGTTGGTCTTTGGTAACTCATATATGGCTCAGGGGCCAATTAGTTTGTTTAGCATTTGCATAGTGTCTATTCTTAAATTACTTCTCTGGCATACCTTCAATGGTCAAGCCTTAACCTCCAGTGGAGGTAATGGTTCTCAGCTTCTTTACCTTCAATCAGTCTTTTTTAAAACTTTCTAATGCTTTGTGTTTTCAAATCTTCGTACAATTGCTAATGTAATACCATTGGTTTTTGTTGTTCTTCTTTTGATTCATTTGAAGTTCTGTTTGATATTTGTTTTGAGTGGTATGGAGTATGATTCCTCATTCACTTAGCAAGTGACTGGTTTACTGCCAGTGTTAGTAGAGAAAAAATGATGGTGATTGGATTTCTTAAATCACATTTATTGTGCTTTCGAAAGTCAAGCATGCAAATATAAAGGGAATTAGGCTGTGAAGTTGGAAGTTAGGAATTTGCACCTAATCATATTTGTGTATGGTCGTAAGGAGATTTGAGATTTGAATGAAGATCCTTGTTATTATTATACAAGAATTTGGCACTGGTCAAAGTGGCTGGGTTGACCATTGTGGAAAAAACCAGCTTCATCATGGTAATAAAGCATAGCAACAGCCTTATAATCTCAGGAGCAACTTTTATCTGTTGAGGTAATGAAGAGCTAGCTCTGGTGTGTAAGTTATGATATTCTATGGATTAATTGAAATAAGAGCAAAGAATTTTGCTTGAGGGTAATTTTCACTTAGTAATATGTGATTAAGTAAATGATGCATGGATAGATAGATCAAGTTATAACTGTGGTTGAGGCTGATAAAGAGATTTTAGACATATTCCAGCTTCCTAGTACATAACTTCGACTGGCACCATGGACCTTTAATAGCTCTGAGAACTGTCTCTCAGAACAGGTGATAATTTTATCATTCAAACCAAGTGAATGGTGAATTTATCAAATATGTTGAAATAATGATAAACACCGTCCAAAGAATCTAAGGAAGGTCATATCTGTAAATTGTTCTTTTTAGCTTGCTAAACCTGCATAATCTTGATTTGAAACCTATCTTGGTTTCTTCTGCAGAATAATTGTTTTGTTTCTTCTCTTGTTTCCTTCCTTAATGGGTTTTGGGTGTTAAAAGAGTAGGATCCTTTCTGTTGGATTAAATTCTAATATTTTTCTTCTTTTGCAAACAATATGTAGCATATTCTCATATTACAGAGTAAAATGTGCAAAAGAATAGGAAGTTGATGGCAGCAGCAGAAGCAAGGGCTGTGTGGCAGAGAGCAGCTAATCGTTGTTTTGTTCAAGAAGATGCCAAAAGAGCTCCCAAATTAGCTTGCTGCCAGTCCTCATCTTCAACAACTAAGCAGGTTGATGCAGGGCCTGCAACTGCAGCAGAAGGGCCAGATCATCCTGCTGCTGGTTTCATGCCTCTTAACAGGAATCCTTCTTATTCCAGTCTACCCCTCGATGCAAGATGGTGGCTGCAAATGCAACCTAGCTATGGGTACCAAAAGGATTTTACATATGAACAGTTAAATGCGTTGGAGGCCGACATGGAAACACTGAGAGCTGGGTTTGTAAAATCAACACCTAAAACTAGCGAGGTCCGCCAACAGAAAGGAGAATGTACTGATGCTGATGGTCGCAAGAACAGCAAAGTCCAAAAGCAAGATGTAAACGCCCAATATGGTAAGGACATGAAGGAACTTGTTCAGTACAAGGATATAAGAGAAAAATATGAAATTATGGGCTTGGATACCATTGATTACCCCTTTTCCAAACAACCCGAGGAATTTTGTTGTGACTATCCTTGGATTGGAGGGGGGAGGGCTGAACCATGGTGGCGGACGACTGATAGAGATGAATTGGCCTCCTTGGTTGCGCAGAAGTCACTTAACCATATTGAGAACTGTGATCTTCCCCCACCTCAGAAAATGTATCATAATAGACATCCGTATGCTGATATTGGATGTTCTGACCACAATGTAATATTGGGGACATCTTTAGATGGGAAAGCCCAAACTGGTGGTCTTTCCGATTTGACCAGTCATGCACGGTGCTATTCTGATCCTGCAATAACACATGAAAGAAAGGGAAATGCAGCTGAAGAAGGGCACTCTGACAAATCATTCAGGTAGTTTTTACATATTTTCAGTGGATGTTTCAGGGCCCATGGTTATTTTCTTGAATTGTTTCATCTTTTTTATATCCTGAAATAGATAAGTTGATTTCCCAAAAGGTATTTAGTTAAAAGAAACTGATGAAATTATTCCATAGATGAAAATTATATGACCGTTTTGATATCCAAATCTTATGATCTTGTCAAATTTGAGTTAGTCGAGTTCATTTTTTACGTTCATATGTATGCAACATAACACACATGATACTCAAATCTTAAATTTCGCAGGGATGTCACAGAGATACAACAACTTTCTGAGGGAGAACCTACCAAAGCTCAGCTTATGGAAGCACTCTGCCATTCTCAAACACGTGCAAGGGAAGCCGAGAAGGCAGCAAAGCAAGCTTATGCTGAGAAGGAGCACATTTTTAAGCTCTTCTTCAGACAAGCCACTCAACTCTTTGCCTATAAGCAGTGGTTCCAATTGCTGCAGCTGGAAACCCTTTGCATCCAGATTAAGAACAACGACCAGCCAGGCTCCGCTGTTGTCCCAGTGGTCCTTCCATGGATGCCATTCAAAGGTAGGAAACCGCGGAGGAACTGGCGTAAGGGTC